AATTCTTATAAGGCTTGTCATTTTGTTTTATTCATGGAGTATGCTGTAAAGAAAACCGACAAATATACTACCTACTTAAGCCTCCGCATAGTGTATTGGGATGCCAATATAATTCTAAGAACCTACCATTACAAAGACATGAAAATTACTTGCAAGATATTGTTACTATAGAGTATTTAAATAGATTATTACGTAAACGCAAAGTTCAGGAAAGAGGTAAAGTATAAAAAATTTTGGACATTTCTACTGTTATCTCTGTTATACAAATATTTTAAAGGATTCTGATATTTCTACACCTTTTTTTTATATTTCTACACCTTAACCCTATTTATATATATATATATATTGTAATAGTATAATAGTTTTTGCAAGGGTTAAGGTGTAGAAATATAAAAAAAAGGTGTGAAAAATATCGGGTTCCTATTTTAAATAAGGAATTAATTTGAGTTTATCTACTTTTTAGGTATTAATGGTCGAAGTATTTTATTTGAACTTAAGTCAATCAAGTTTCCAGATTCATTCCCAGTTGATATTATATATGGATTATTTGAAAATATTGCCCCAGCAATGCTCTGACATTGGTCAGGTTCTTTTTTAAAGATACACAAGTAAAATTATATATGTCGGGTTCGTTTTAAAATGCTCTTTAAAGTAATAACGCCTTTTTTTTATTTATTCTTATTGTTTGGAACATAGCAGAGGACTCAATTTTCATGCAAAATGATCGTTTTTGATGTTTTTATTTTAAATAAAAATATCAAAAACATATCTTAAATTTTTGAATTGTATTATGCAATGGTAATCGAAAGTTACGTTTTTGATATCTTTATTAAAAATGCATCAAAAACGGCCATTTGCATGGAAATCGAGTCCTCCGCTATGTTCCAAACAATAAGAATAAATAAAAAAAAAAGGCGTTATTACTTTAAAAAGCATATTAAACCGAACCCGACATATATAATTTTACTTGTTGGTTCAAAAGTTATTGCAATTTAAATTTTATATGTTTTTACTATTTACGCTACTGATTCTTGTAATTACCACTACGTACTCAATTTTGTTGGTTTGTTTTTGCCTTTTATGGGGATCGCTAAAGCCTTGTACCCACGTGCTTTTTGGTTTTAATTGTAATTAGGGTTAGGGTTGGTTTAAGTGTTAGGGTGAGGGCAGGTTTAGACTGCCGTTTTTCATATTTTTTCATGATTTTGATTGGAGATCTACATAGAAAAAGTCACGTGGGTACAAGGCCCGTATGATCGTCAAATCAACTTCCTTGTAATAATTATATAAAAGGAAGGATTTTTTTATGTACGTACACTTTCTATTGGTTGAAATTATTTGATTGTTTACATGTCACCGCATTTAATCTTTCCATTCTAGACAATATATGAAAAATCGCATTTACTAATTTCTCCACACTTTCTATCTAGCCAAGATCTGGTGTAACGTGAAAATTAACAAAACAACGAAAAATCGCATTTACTAATTCTTCCACACTTTCCATCTTTCCATTTTA